AAAATATCTCTCTCTCTCTTCCCTCACTCACCACGTCTTTCGCGCCGGCAGGGACTTTTTTATTTTTTTTAATTTATTTATTTTTTTTTTTTTTTTGCAATCATCCCATCCATAATAATTATGTAAACCCTCCCGGCACAAAATCCCAACGCGCAGACCCGCAGACCCGCAGACCCGCAGACCACGCGACTCTGCTTCAACACAACGATGTTCTTTCTCAAGGATAGTAGAGTAGTGCAACAGGGGGAAAATAAAAATAAAGGCTGAGAACGAACTTGCCTTGTCATGACGAACAAGTGGGCAGGAAAGAACCAGTTTGACAGCAGGGACAACAGAATCTGCTTGCTGGGAAGTTTATTATTATATTGTTTACGATTTGATTGTTTGAGAAGAGGGATTTATACACACACACTCTTCTCTTTGATAGATGATAGAATGCACCTCTACTAAATTAAATATAATAGGAATGGCTCAGGAATTGAATTTCCGTTAATTAATACATGAAAAACTAGAAATCTTCTATGCACAGTATGGACACAGGTAAAAAATAGTGGTTAACAGAATCAATGTTCTGCAGCTCTCATTCTCTCCCTGTGTCAAATCTATGACCTCTATGATAACCTTTCAAATAATCTGATTCTCTCACAGATTCTTTAAATAAAATCTTCTATTCTATCTGTTGAAATAGAGAGCTGTTATTATTAGTTGAAGCAGAGATTTCTTCAAAAAATTGTCTATTAATACTCTCTACCCTCAGCTCATAGAATCTGTCATTGACACTAATGTTGATTAACTACTCCGTACATGTCATGTATATATAAAATCCCTTTCGAGAAGCCCCAAACAGCAGGAAAGAAGAACTCGCTCATCGGTCCTTGGCGAAGCCGATGCGGTTTATTTTTCAATTTTCAATTTTATTTTAATTTTTCTTTATTTTTTTTAAACCTCTAGACGGGAGCGGAAAAGCCGCAGAGAGAGGCAGGTTTGTTGCATTCCAATGATTACCCAAGAACTTTTCAAACCGTCGTCGGGCCTAAGCAGTATTGCACAGCCCACCCGCCGAGAATATCGTTATGGCTGGTGTTTGGGATCTGGAGGAATAGTTCGACCGTCGGGGCTGACAGGCATTATCAATTCATGAAAGTATTTTATATTGACGAGGGCTTGTGGGCAACTTGGCATCTCGGCATTTTTATTTTCATGTTAGTCTTGCAATTCGCATTTTGCTCGTGTCCTCTCTCAGCTTTAAAAATTTGAAAGTAAAAACGGCGAATTAATTCCCACTTTGCCAATACTAATAATAAGACACCTTTTCATCGTCGTGGTTTTGTTTCTCTGCTTAGCCTTGCAGCAATAAGTTGTTATGCTTGGTGACATTAAAGCGAAAGGGGATGATATGATGTGATGACATCCCCGTACAAGATTCTTTACAATACAATTACGCTGTAACTACAATGCAATGTCCTGGCGCCGCCAGCTGTAGACAATCTGTATGAATAGTAACTTATTAATAACGTTACAGACTAATCCCCCCATGCCTCCCACCATTTTGTTGGCTGGTATATTATCTATCTACTTGGTTATCATCGGCGATTCCTAACATCGTCATTATTATTATTATTGCACTCTCAACGCCCCCTCGGGAAACAACCGTCCGTGTCCTCACTTGCCAATAATCAGTAGTTACGCTGTACGCAGCGTAGTAATAGCAATGCTGCCGCAGTTGCCAGCCAGTCGCCTGTTGCTCGCTCTCATGTATCATACATATCACAGAAATGAACAACAATCAAGCGAGTGGAGAAAAACCTGATTTTTATCAGATAGTTATGCATTGAGTTAGTTGCCTTCTTCGAAAAACCGGATACGTATCTACTGTTTTGAAATCTTCTTTCGTTTATTTTGTCAAAACTCAACTACAGATACTTTTGATTGTTTACCGTGGTCCGAATTAAATTGAACCTGAATACCACCAAAAAATATACATTTATCTTGGATGATGAGTACTCCGCAGCACATTATTGGGTATTCATATACCCCGTATTTGACATCTTCGGCCAAACTACGCTTCTCTTGAGCGGTTCTATATGTACAGTACGTTGCACCTGCCACTGAAACGACGATGCTACGTCTAATAATCAAACCAGAGCATACCGATATAGGCAGCGTCAGCACCAACAAGCTTGAGGATAGCGCGGGAACCACCGTACCTTGCATTGGTCGTCTGTTCAACAACAGGCTCGTAATAATAATAATGACCTGCCCGTCCTGGCGGGGGAGGCGGACACCTGGTCCACAAAGCCTAACATCGCGTCAATGATATCATCCCACCTCGGCGGCCTCTCTCTCTCTCTCTCTCTTGATCGACGACGAAGAAGAAGAAGAAGAAGAAGAAGAAGAAGAAGAAGAGCACCCTCTCTTCCCCAGACCAAGCAATCTCCATTGCCATTGAACAGAGGTTTCTATATAACAAGGGCAACAAAAGGATAGTTTAAAACTCTCTGCGTTGCATGCCACTATATACGGTACCTCTCAGTATAACTATAAATTTGCAAATGAAAAAGAAAAGGATTACTCATAGAAAGCACTTCATAGGCTGATATCCTTCTTGTCAAAGCCATTGACTGAAAATAAGCTCTTCCCGCCACCAGATTGACACGGACCGGTCAGGATCTAGAATCTCTAAGTTATCTATCCAAACCTTCCAACACACACACTTTTTTCTTCTTCAATATCTTTCCAATAATGGGGGGTGTTGGAAAGCCCTTGACGAAAATTGCAACCTCTTTTTTTCACTTTCTTGGTTCCTGTTTTTCTTCTTCTTTTTCATTTTTGCATTTTTTATTTTTTGCATTACAACACATTTTGGCTGGCTCATGGCGTTTGTAGCAGGAAGACACACCGACCTTCATTATTGGTTGCGGCGTGCAGTGAGCTTGCTTCTGAGATTGGGATTTCGACCTCCTTTCCGCCTTGATTGATAATCGTCGAGTGACAAACAGCCCCATGGCTTCCACCCTAGACGACCTTAGCGCCGTATCCAGAGTATCTCTCTCTTTTTAACTCCAGCAGTAAACCCCGAAAGCCCGTCGACTTCACCTACGACGACTCGGAGAGATTCAAGGCGGGCGCTGACAAATTACCTCAAAAAGAAGCAAGATACATAGGTAATCAACTTTTCTTTTGATGACATCTATTTCGTAGCGTTATCTGGCTCTTGAAGAATCTTTACTTAGTCTTTCGTAATCCATGTTTACTCTGCGGGATTATTGCTGAATGAAGGATGCAAAATTAATTGCCTTGATCAAGTTGGCGAAAAATAAAATGTGACAAAATTGCAGAGTTGGCCTCGGTTAAAGTTAAGTGGTTGTACATGTACATGTACATTACATTACATGTATGTATGAGGTCATGGCTCAGCTATAGCATCATCGGGCGGAATTTGCCATAAAATATCGTCAATTGAGTTTACCCTTCATCATTGATCTAAGCTTATTCCTCTCAGCCTTACTTTGAGCTTGATGCTACGTGTACGGAGTACGCGTACACTCTTGGGTGCATTTTAATTTGCATGCTCCTCCTCTTCTGTCACGGCGACACCTTTGTCGCACGCTTTTGAAAAGCGGCTATGGTGGGGGGGGGGGGGGGGGCGTCCCTCTCTCACTTCCTTTGAAGGGGCCTAGTTATGTATTGTGCATGTTACATGTACATGTAACCTGGGTAGCTGGACTTGCAATTAACCCATTCCATTCATCAATGGCAAGTTAGTTACCCAGCTCGCGGGTGTTCGTTTTCTCGTAGTGGTTTGTAGGTAAGGTATGGAGCCCATTGTACGTACATACATACATTATACATACATCCGTGCATACATCCATAGTTACATACTGTACATGAAGGTTTGTTTATACGTTGCGAGGTTACAACCAACCCCATTTCCTCTAGCGTATTGCGCGAGTGAAGTTTGATCTGTGATGAATCATCATATGTAAGAATCACGTCTCCATTTCAGGTAAACAGACCTTAAATTCAGTCGCCCTTTGTTCACCCCAGCCGGGGGAGGGTTCACGATGACAATACGCCAAACGCGCGGTGAATGCAGGTAAGCTCCCCCCCCTCGGAAGAAAATTGCACAAGGTATCCAGGGACATACGCTGTATGCACTTCAGCCGCCCACCGATGCTTCTGTCTTATTAATCACAGAGCATAACTAGCTAGTTAGTTTACTGATAATTAATGTCACGCGTGGGGGAGAGCTGTTTATACCCATGCACTCAATCTATCATGGGCCAACTCAACGCTTTTTGATGATGACAGACTTATCGTCCAGCAATTGAGCGGAATGCTCGTGAGGCCATCTCGTGGAGAGGGGCCACTGGGATACATAGTTAACTAGTAGAAAATTAACTAACGTTACAGAGTTAGTGAAATGAAATATTATTGGAGAGGATTCACCGCACTTGGCTCGAACTGCAATGTAAGTCTTTGCTTTTGGGTCAACCAACACGTACGAAGTCCAGGAGAACTATGGATGTCCATGAGGTTCTGCCGTCAAACCAAAGCTTCTTCTGCTTTTGTGCAAGTGGGGGATTTACACCCAAAGTTAAGCACTCCGTCACAGATAGCGATGACAAGGCGTTGAACAAGTCTCGAGGAGTAAGTAGCATGCAACTATTGATGCCAGAGACATCCTCAAGAAGATAGTTAATCATTCATACAAAAGAGATATATCTGTAAAGGTGTCTGTCGCTTGCGTTCAGTCATGCCAGGCTTCTCAAGGGACAAAAGGACAGGCAAACAAGAAATAAGATAAAATAAGATAGGATAGGATTAAATAAATAAGAAATGAAAAAGTGTTATCATAAATACCTAAACCCAACCCATAAAAGACCCCCCCTTGAAGACAAAAAGAAAAAAGGAGCAGCCAAATCCGAGCAGGAAAGCAGAAAGAAGACTGAACTTGAGAGGGAAAACACCCAGAACACGTTTCCATCGAAGAAAACTACCTAAACCTCGACCTCAACGGTCAATCCACCACCCTCCCCATCATCCGTCCCCGACCCATTTCCATCTTCCTCATCGTCGTAATCGTCCTCATAATCATCCCCCCCATCATACTCATCCGTCTCCGCAGCCGTTCCAGTTCCATGGTGCGAATGTCGCTGCTGTCGATGACCGCGCGACGAATGTGACTGCTCGCGACTCGTACCTGTGGCGGCGCTTGAATGCCTATGCCCCTTTTGGCTGCGACCATACGGCCGGCTATCATGCCGCTGCTGATATCCGCCACTTCCATCACTACCGCGGTGGTCGATGATGACCATCTCGCCCTCATCAGGGTCTCCGCTACCTTCTTCGCCCTCGCGATCAGTATCATCACCGTTATCGCGGTGACGACGTTGATGATAGGGGCTGACAGTCGCCCTGCTAGCTCGGGAGCGTTCCGCATCATCCACGACGGCGGCTGCTGGCGCGGAGAGATGGCGGCTGGGAGCCGTGGGGCCGTTTCCGCTTCCATCCCCAGTCCCGCCTCCTCCTGAACCATTGTTGCTGCTACTTCGGTTATGAGGGGTATTGGAAATAGCACCCCGGTACTGCTGCCTCATCCTTTGCCTAGCCAACTCAGCTGCAAGCTCCTCATTGCGCGCATTCTGCTCTTCCAGCCGCTTACGCGCACCGGAACGGTCAAGTAAACGCGCTTCGCGTTCTGCCGTGAGGCGGCGCTCGAGCTCCTGCAATCTTTTTATCCATTTCTCCTGTGAGGGTTCGCTGCTGGAGTGCGAATGGCGTGGAGAAGTGACGTGATGGTATTGTGACTGTTGCTGGGCGACCTGTGTGGAAGATGATGTTCCAGCGGGTGCGACGGGATTGTTCGTGAGTGTTGAAGAAGAGGAGTACTGGGATGGTTGAGGGATGCCAGAGGAACCGCGGGAGAGGGTACTGGGACTTCGGCTGGGTTGTGGTCCGTGGCCGTGTATTCCAGCTATAGACGCGTTGTCAACTGCAGTCGTGGAGCTGTATCGTGATAAGGTGTTGGCGGCGAGGTTAGATGCAGACTGTCGTGACGAGCCGTGGCCGTTTCCACCTCCCGCGGCTGCGGCATTAGCCGCACGAGCCCGTGAATGAGATTGGAGAAGATTCAGCTCGGCCTTTAACAACCTGTTCTCGCCCCTGAGTTTGGATATTTCGGGGCTGGAAGGGTTTGAAGAGGTTGAACGGTGATGCTGTTGGCTGGATCTCAAACTTTGAACCAATTCCTCCATCCGCTCCAGTTTCTTAACGCGGACGTTCAGATTATGTTCGAGATTCTGATACTCCTTTGTCAGGTCCCGCTCCACAGACTTAATGCGCGCCTTGAAGCCGCCAATGTGGGTTTCAACCGTCTTTACCGCGAGCAGGAGATTTCGGCTAAAACCTGGCCAGAAAAGCATATTCCCGATAACTTCCTGGCTGGGCAGGTTTCCGTTGATTAGACTGTTCGAGTGGGCCCAGTCAGGTCCGCACATGGCAGAGAGTCGTTTCCAAATAGTGAGGAACATTGCATTGCGCTCACTTAATTGGTCCTTATACTGTTGTTCGAGGGTACTGAAACGCTTCCGGTCCTGACTTCGTGCAGACTCCAAGTCCGAGATCCGCGAGTTATTCTGTGAGATTGTCCGGGACGCTTGGTGGTGGGATTTGAGTGACTGTTCGAATGAATGTTTATCTGCCCGGTGCGCTTGACGCTCCCTCTCCAAGAGATCTGCTAGTTTGCGAGTCTCCAAACCATGGCTCTCGAGGAGGGCATCGCGGTTGCGGAGCAGGGATTCTTTCTCATCGAGCTTGGTGCGAGTACTCTCCAGCTCCAGAGCGGTTGAATCTAACTCCTGCTGCAGCTTAGTTATTGAAGAAAGTAAGCTTGAGCGTGTGCCGTTGAGGTCGCCAAGGGCTTCACGGAGGCTGTTTTCCAATTCCACAAATCGCTCTTTCCAAGTCGTAGCCTCGATATCCCTTGAAGAGAGAGTCTTCTTCAGCTTACGGACCTCATCCTTGGCAGTAGTGGCCTCGCGGTTAAGCTCATTCATAATTCGTTGAACCTCCTGCTTCTCCTTACCCCCAACAACTTCCCGCTGGTGTCTTTCCTCCGCAAGGCGACGATCAAGCTCTTTAGCTCTATCCTTCTCAATTTGTAGACTCATCTGACACGTCTTCAACTCAGACTCCAAATCCCCGATCTTAATCTTATCGCCATCTTGCTCCTCACGGAGGAACGCAATCTCATTCTGACTAGATTCCTGCTGAACAGTCAACCGCTGCACTTTATTATTAGCTTCAAAGAGACTCTTCTCCATCTGCTCCAGCTCCCGATTCGCATCATCCAACTCCTGCTGTACAGCTTTGTATTTCTGTAAGTTGTTTTGTGCATCTTGTTCGAGTCTGATAATGCCCTCGCTTGCTGACCGCATTTCTGCCTGCAAGGCCTTGAGATTCTCATGTTGATTAGACAATTCAGCCTCCATGCGCTGACATTCGTCAATCTTCTGATCCAGCTCATCGCCCATGGCATCCAGTTCTTCCTGCGCCTCTGCTTTAAGATCCTGCAAGGCTTCCTCCCGCTCATCAGCAATCTGCATCGCCTGATCCCGTTCCATTTGTATAGTTTGCAAGTCTTCCTCAGCCTGTTCCACATCAGCTTGGTATGCACGGTCCAACGCCTCCAGATCGCTCATGCATTCGTCAAGTTGAGCGCGAATACTTTGATTCTCAAGCTTAAGCGCTGACACATGATCGCGGAGTTCCCCATTTTTGATCTCAAGGCTTTCGCGTTCTGCATCGCTGGTGCGAGATCTCGTCCCGTCGCTTGTACGAGAATTGGACCTATCCTGGGCGCGGGATATTGAACGCTCAAAAATACTATCGCCGGCAACAGACCGGCCACCGTCTCCTCTCCGCTGGCCCAATTTCAAGTCTTCGATTTCCTGGTAAAGTCTCTCCTTTTCCCGATTCCTAGACGTTAGCATGGAGGTCTGTGCACTGACTTCGCGGCGAAGCTCGGCATTTTCTTGCTTAAGAAGCTCTAATTCGACGAGGGTGGTGCTGGAAGTAGTGCCAAGAGCAGCACTCCGGTCAATGTCCCGGTCTTGAGGCGCTGGATCGAGAGACAACGGACAATTTGCCAACACGAGAACCTCCAGATCGGCTACCAGAGATTGTATCTGGCTTCATGCGCAGAAGCTCATCCCGAAGCTTTCTGTTTTCCTCTTCCGCCTGTTCTCGGGCTGCGGCTTCTGCGTCAAGCATGTCCTTCCACATATCCTAAAGCGAAAATAGAATATGTCAGTAAAAGTCTATAAAATGGTCGCCCAGCATAGAGGGCAACCTTCTCCCCTACTACCAAGAATCATCATAATGCAAACCACTCACCCTCTCCTCCCTTGCCCCCGCATCAGAGCCAATAGCTACTCTCCCCTCTCCCAACAACTTTACCATCTCAGCCAACCGCCTCTTCTCACTCTCCCGCGAAATACTTTCCGACCTCAATCTTTCAATCTCCACCTCATACGTCTCAATCCTTTCGCGCAGATATGTCAGCTCTTCCTCATCCACACCGCCATGCCCCTGACCCTGCCCATCCTCATCCTCAGCATCCGCCCCATCTTCTCTCTCGGACTTTTCCCGGTCCCCATCACTCTCCCCGCCCTTGCGATCGCGAAGCTGCTTCTCTAAATCACGAATATTCCTCCGAAGCGCCTGATTATCCTTCTGTAGTTTGATTTTATCGGACTTCAGCTCCACGTTTTCAGAGATCATTTCTTTCACACCCTCTTCAGAGCGTTTATTCAGCGCCTCGTTGAGGAAGTGAATACGCATCTTGAGGTCAAAATTCTCTTTCGACAGCCTATCTATGGTGCTGCTCTGTTCCTTGAGTGTCAGTGACTTACCGCTGCGCCCAAACGCGGGGGTTGGGGCACCTCCACGCTTGTCTGGGGATATGCCAAGAGTACTTTCTCGGAATTGACGGGCGAGAGTGGCTGGTATCAGGATGTCCTTGATGTGGCCTACTATCGCGGTTTCTAGTGGTGGTTGATCGCGCGGTTGAGCTTTGGGAGTCATGGGATCCGTCACGGATTTCTTCCCTGATGACCCCGGGCGGGTCTGTGAGGTAGAATCTTCTTCATCCAACGTATGTAGACTGACGTCTGAAACACCACTGAACCCTCTCCGCTGTTCCATCAAGTTATCATCACTCATGCCCGATACGCCAGACGCCATACTTCCAAGGCTTATCGACCTGGACAGCTCCTTCTTCTGTCTACCGTGACTGTGTGACCGCTGGCCGCTGTGATTCGCTGGCGCTGCCCCGCCGGACTGGATTGCAAAATCGACCCCCATCGCAGCTTCGCTAGACGCAGTATCCGTGCCGATAGTGGCAGTGGAAGAACTTGAGAACCGGTGAACGGACTGTCGACTCGTCAAGAATTTGGGTCGTTTGCGTCTGCGCTCCGAAGCCGAGCCGGAATCGTGTGGCGTATCTCCCTCACTACCGCTTACTCCCGTAGTATCTTGCAGTTGCCGCGAGGCGGCACGGGTTGGGGAAATGTTCCGCGTAGAGCGGCGCGGGGTAGCATTTACATTATCATCGTCTGTACTAGATAGTTGTGAATCGTCCCGTTCACTATGTTGACGGCGATGGGATGCACTGCTCCGTAGACTAGAGTTCGACATAGCTGTAGATATAGCCCTCGAGACGGTTCTCGCCGCCGCAGCTGCGGTTGGTGAGGATGATACGGTATCTAACGATGAAGTATTGAGAGTATCATTCCCTTTTGCAGAAGGAGTCAAATCCAAGTCCTCATAATTATCATTGTCATGGCTGTGCTCGCTCCCCCTCTTCTCATCTGAATCCCCTTCGTCCTCGAACAAAGAGGGTTCTAATCTGGTAGCGCGGCGAGCTGCCGGGGTTTTGTATGCGCCGGGCGGTGTAGTAGGGGAAGGGGGAGTTTCTCGACTGTCACCCTCGTCGACCTGCGACACATCCCTATCGCCCACGCCAATCAAGTATGTATCGTCCGGCGCAGGTACGCCGGGTGTAGCAGCGACATCAATTGTGGAGGGTTCAGGGAGAAAGCTGGATTCTATGTCCAGTAGTTTCTGGCGCATTTCTTTCTCGTCGAGAGCGGTTTGGTTTGGTAGTGTCTGATCATTGTAGTTTTCATTGGAGTTTTCATGTTCATTTTCATTTTCGTTTTCGTTTCCGTGGTCGTGGTCGTGGTCGTGGTCATGGTCATCTACAATCTCATTTTCCCGCCCATGCTCTAGATTCTTATGCTTGCTCTCTTTAGGCTCGTACTCGTGGTCATGGTCGTCGTTATGGTCGTTAGTACTGGTCGAGTTGTCCATGGTGTCATTATATTCAGGGTAGGGGATAGAGGAAGTGAGCAAAAGGCCTCTGGAATCGTTGAAGTCAATGCTAGGAAGAGGAATCGTAGAGGAAGAATAATCGTCGATGGCCAGAACAGGCGATGGTGAAGACATCGGCTCTTCATGCTGCGGGTGTTGACGCGGTGACAACGGCAGGGGTGGATCCTTGAAGCTAAGTAAAAGCGGGCTATGGTCATTTTTGCCGTTGTCATTAGTATTATCGGCATGGGTATTTGCACCCCCAGTCATCGTCAACAGGCTGCTCGACTGATTCTTCTCATCTTCATCCCATGGCGGCGGGTACTGTTCTTCAAATTCTTGATCCCCACGCTGCTCTCCTTGCCTCCCATCCTGCTGCGTCCTGGCCTCGTCGTCAAACTCCATTTTCATCGGCGAGAGCTCATCGTCTGTATCAAACCCACCAGGAACCCTGGACGGCCGCCGTCTCTGGGCTGCGAGAGGCTTATCTGTGAGGTCTGGAGTTGTACCGAGGAGAACGGGAGGGGGATATGATGCTGATACCGAACGTGAAGCGGCCATGGCTATTCTTGAATATCTGTTTAGGTGGATGTTGTGGTGGTTCGTTCGAGATGTGTTTGGCTGTGATTTGTTGTCATGCCGTCCGTCAGCAGAAAGTCCAGTATAGGGCCTTAGGTTAGTAGTATGTTGGAGTGCAGGGCCAATTGGTTTGGTTGTTGTAGCTGCTCAGCGCATGGTGATAATAAAGCCTTGGGCGTTCGTTGTTGTGGTAGATGTTGGTGCTGGAGGTGTTCCAGGTTCTGGCCGTGATAAATAAATAAATACTTCAAACATTCTTTTTGGTTCAGGGACACACACAGCCATTCGGCACAACCTCAACCCAATTACTCAATTATTCAGCTTTCCACATTTTCCTTACTTCCCTTGGAGACACGCAGAATTGAGTACTCGTTCGGATTATTTATATGTCTATCAATTTCCAGCGGCATCGTCTATATTTAGGAATCCGGCTCAATATCCTCCCATATCTACTTCGAGGCGAGCACAGTTAAGGCCCCCTCATGAACTGGCCCATTAACTCGTTCAAGAGACCAGAAACCATTCAATTGGCACGTATTATTATTCTACCGTAGCCATCTGCGCGAGGAAGCTGTCCCATTCTCTCTCTCAAGCCAAAGCTATCTCTCTCTCCGGCTTCAGCAGGTCATCCATAAACCCCATTTGCCACGAGCTACAACCATTTACCTACGGTGAAAAAATGGCATTTCGAAAAAATAGGCGACATGAAATCGCAATTTTATATGCACTCCATCCTCGACACACTGTAAATCAACAATACACAAAATCAATACAGATATTTATCAGAAATGTTGATTGAATTATCTTAGAGCAAAAGTGTTACTTAAGCCTCATACCTTTAAACACAACAGTTATGATAGCTTAACAAAAATAAAAAATAAATGCCACTGAAATTCTTGCAAAGAAACATCATGAGAAAAAGAAAATAAATAATAAATAAACGGAATGAAATCATGGAATCAGGTCAGATTATGCCCAGCTGAGAAATGATCAAATAAACAAAGTGAAGAAAAGGAGAAGAGGATATTAAAATAATATAAGTAAAGTAATATACGTATTCGTTTCTTCGCTTGCTTGCCTTGTGTGCCATTGTCACGAGAAGAGAAATGGACAAAAATTAAAAATTAAAAACAAAAATAATAAAAATAAAAAGTAGACTCATTGCAAAGATGTAAACCAGCAAGTGTAGTGTGAGACACAATTAACAATAATGTGTAATAATTTCACAACACCGGCCCAGTCGTATGGGGTTGTCCCCCCCCCAAAAAAGAGACAAAAAAAGTAAAAACTCTAGAAGAAAAGTGGTTCAGATATAATATCAGCCTTAGGAAAAAAAGAAAAAAAATTAAAAGTCCACAATAGCAAAATCAAACCCAAAAACAAAGGAAACGGTCATCAAGAAACACTAAAACTAGAAGCCCGCGGCCTATCAACTGGCGATGATGTCTTAAGCTCGAGTGCTTCCGGTGTCGCCGTCGTTACTTCCGTACGCGTAGTCTCGCCAGAGCCACCTGTAATTTTCTCCCTCAACGTCTGCGCCGCCGTCAAACAATCAATATACGTCCGAAACTTCACAATCTCCCTCAGCAAATACGAGCTCTTCCGCTCCCAATTCGCCAGCGCCTTATTCGCGTTAGGGTGGCGGGGAGTGAAGGCCAGAGTCATCGCGGCACGCAGTTCGTTATGTCGCTGCAGCTCCTCCTCGACGTGTTTCACGTATTTGCGCAGCGTGGCGAGTTGTTCTTTTTCTGGGAGTGTGGATGCCATCATGCTTTGTTGCGGAGGGGTCCAGTCGCTGATGTGTATACGGTCGGCGGGGAGACGCGGGCGGATGTTGGATGGGTGGTCTAGGGAGCCACGGAAGGAGCTTTGGAAGCTTTGGCGGGTTGCAGAGGAGTTTGCGGTTTGTGGTGGTGGCGTTGGATGAGGGCCGCTGGAGGAGGAAGAGGGAGGGGCAGCGGTGTTTTCGGTGTTGCTGTTATTATGGACTAAAGCGCTGTTAATGACTGCAGTGCTCCAGCCGTATTCGATGTTACTGATGCCTCCAAATAGAGGCTCCTTGGATAACCTAGCGCTCCAATAGTTGGCGGATGAGACGAACTCCTTCACGATATCTGGCGTGCCTACTTGGAACAGGTGAACAGCGCCGGTGGGCAAGCTTAGAGCCCATACATGGGGTCGGGACTTTGAGTAGCCCGGTGACGGGAGGGCGCTGGCAATGGACTGGCGTAGAAGGAACTTCCACGTTTCCTCAGCGTTCTCTGTCCAATTCCCCCCACCGACGACAAGACCGCCATTCTGTCGCTGTTTCGGCTTCAGCCGCATGGACTTGCTTGAGGCGTTGAATGAAAACAATCTCATCCAACCGCGCTGTATCACGGCAAACGATTCATTCCAATTTCTATCTTTGGAGCGTTTATCGACTGAATCAAGATGATGTTTATGTTTGAGACTACCCTCCTTTGCCCACGGTGCACCCGCGAGCTCCAAGGTTTCATCCTCTAGAAGCGCCGCTGCACGTTCGGGATCCTCCATGCCGGACAGAGAATTAGCCGAGTCCTCGCGAATAATAGCATGACTCAAGGCATTGGCAAACCCAATGGACTGCTGATAGTCTCCTCGTGGAAATTCAGAACCTAGAGAATCCATCGACATAGATGTCAATGTCTTGCCAAGGGAATGCTTGCTCCACGTACTCGATGCCGATGGCGACCAAAGAGACGATTGATCATCGAGGCTTGTACGGCTTGAGCCGAAATGTGAAGTTGGATACAATCTCGGGCGAGACCTAGGTTTCGACGACCACCTTGCGGTTGACACTCGATTCTCCATGTGCCGACCTCGGGGGTGAATATCTGATCCGCTTTTGCTCAACGTGCTTGGTGTGCGACGAAGCATATTACCAGTCAGTGTTAGAAAGTTGTTCGAATGCTGTTGATGTTCTTCAGCTTCTGCAGTGGCGCCTCGCAGGGGTAATCTCTGTTTTTGGATAGAGTGATAAAAGTCTTTAAGAACGTTTTCAATTTGAAATTCCCAGCTTTTCTGTGTGCCCCGGTATGGCGTAGAAACCAAGGGTCCCGAATCGCCGGAAACAACATCAAGATTCTGGCTCGTGGAGATGGTGCATACAGAGTTCGTCCTGGGAGTGTCCTCAACAGGTTTTGAGAGGGTATTATTGGGAACATCCATATCTACTGAACCGTCGCCTCCATGTCGAATAGGCAACAGCGTAGGAGATTTTGCGACAAGCGGGCTAGAGTTCACGCTTGCTCCTTGAGTTTGGGTCTTGCTGGAAAGATTTCCAGGGTTTGCTCGTTCGAAAGCGTTCGGAGCAGCATCAGAAACAACCCTCTGGATAGTCGGCATAGTGTTCTTAATAAATTGACTGCGAGTCATTTTCTGCTCAATATCCGCCATGTGGAGATCGGTATTCAACAGGAGAAGAGAGTAGCATATTGTATGAACAACATCTACCAAAACGAAAGAAAAGATTATTAGTAAAATATAGCAGCCAAAACGACAATTTGAAGGGAAATGATTCTAACATACCTGTTGCCTTAAACCCATGCTCCGGATTACATTCACACCAACGCGATGAGAAAGCATCAAGAATCCTATCAACCTGTTGAGTTTCACCCTTTAGCGCAAGTCGCCCGCATAATCCTCTCAATGCCGCTAAGATATTCATATTTGACCAGTCAAAAAGTTCCATGTAAGCCTTTCTAACGGCTGACCGGTCTGGATTTCCAAGCCAAGCTGCAGCAGGTTCTTTGTCTGCGTCATGGTCGAGATCGTCGAATATCCTTTGGGCATGCTGTCTATCCTCCGCAGTAGGCTCCTCATTAATAGCAAGGCCAGTAGTTTCACCGTTGTTAGCATCGGTGGGTTTCTTCTCGGCTTGTATCTCCGTACGTAGCGGAGGCAGTGCCTGCGGCTTAGTATCTTTGTTTGTGTTTTCATCATCCGGGATTATAGGAGTGGTTGATGCAGTGTGATAGTTGGACACAGTTGATAGCGACGCCCGCGGAGACGTAACTGTCCCTTCCAGCGGTAGATCCAACTTGCCACGCCCATCAGCTAAATGTTCTACAGAAGAATCAGGCTCCAGCCAGGCCTTCTCATGCAGTTGCCTCGAAGGACGGGCATGATTATCCCCCGGTAGAATTTGAGGTTGCACAGATGACGAGCCGTGTTGAGTTTTCTGATCCGACACTGAAGTCGATAATGAAGTTGTAGTGGACGATTCATCAACTGCGCCGTGCCTGCTATGCGACGATTTCAGGTACGCCGGCAAAATTGAGTACGACGCACGGGAACTACTAGCACTCGTTTTCCCTGACGAATGTGAACCACTAGCGACTTCCGATGATTGTCCAACTGGCATTAGTTTCATGTGAGTTGGTGCATTGGGGCTAGTCATAGGCCGCCTGAATCTTTCACCAGAATACGAAAGACCGGTTCCCTCATTTCCACTGCTGCTATCCGCCAGGAAAGAATCATCATGGTCACGAGAAGGCACGTTAAGACTAAGTCCGGATTTGAAATTAAGCGAACTGGGTTTCCTTGGCTTCTTCCCACGTGGATTATGCTCCAAATCTCCACGTTTTGTTGCGTTGCCCTCATTCAGAGATCGTGGTTCACTGCCGGAAATCTCATTATCTGCATCGTCGACTACGGGGTCGTGATCCACCTGATGAGAGGGAGCGTTTGTTAAGAAAGGATCCATAACCTTCCTGAGACTGCTAACTGGACTAGGCTCTGGACCCAAATCGCCACGTAAATGATCAACCTTATAATGATCGGGTTTCGAACCGCTAAGAGTTTGGATATTAGGAGGAGGTAATTTCAATGGTGGCGGAACATGGTCTGGGATGGACTTCTTGCGGCGACGGAAGAAGGATGATGGCTTTTTGGTTATCACGGGGGTGTTTTCGCGGCTCGACATGTTGTTTCCTGGGGACGAGTACTTCTTTGTTTGTTTCTGGCCTTTGGAAGAATTCGGCGCACTTTGCTGCTGTTCTCTTTGCCGTCGGTGGGTCTCGTTTTCTTGGCTATATGAAGAGTCGGCTTCGGACTGGGATGGGGTTTGGGATTTTGAAGAGCCGCCACCAAAAACCCGCCGAAAAAACCCTGGTCGTTCTTTTGGGGCGGGTGGTGGTGGTGGTGGTGGGGTATTATTGACTGTTGGCTGAGGGGCAAAATAGGAAGTTTTATGGAATGCAACTGTTGGGCTAGGAGCAGGTTGGTGGTGGGGGTAGGTCGACATGGCCAGAGGGAAATCCGGTATTGGGTCACGATAGTGCCTCGACTCGGCTCTACGGCCTCGGATGGTAGCAGTTCCGAGGGTGTCTGAACGACCTTTCTTCGTATACATGCTCCTAGCCGATTTGCTGCTGCTCTTACGTGACAAGGCAGGAGCGCGGGAACTGCTGGGGACGGTTCTATTGTAAGGTAGTTCGCGCATCGGGGGTGAGTGGTTGCGTCGGGGGCCTACGGGAACACAAGGGGTGGGAGCTGCGTCGATGTCATCGTAATGAAACCCGTTGTAATGAACGAAATCTTCCAACCCACCTCGATTGTCAGTCAATGGCAGTGAGGGGTGGTGGTGGGATCCGTAATCAAAGCTGGCGGACCGTCGCTCCCGATACTGCCCTGGTCGACCACCAGCTATCATTTGATTAAAGTCAACGCTGGAGGAGCCACTGCTTCGACTGCTGGCTTTAGTGCCGACCCTGTTTGTTCGATGAGAAGGCTGTCGATCTGCAGCGTTTAGAGCGCGTTGAGCATCATACACCTTGCTGCGGGTACTCATACCTTCTCCAGCCCCACGAACACTGTCAATTCTCCGAAGACCAGGATGGTAGTTGGAACTGCTGTTACTTCGACGACCACGAGTAGATTGGCTAGAGTAGCGACCAACATTATCCTCTGAATGGGCTTCAACATCAGAAGAGATAGAAGAAGAGAAGGTGTGGCCCCGAGGTCGGCTAGCCCTCATAGAAGAGTAGCGTGTATATATGGTGTGAGCTTCTTGATCCAGGCTCGAACCGAACATACGGGGACTGTCAAGTGGGTCACAAACAGAGAACTGGTCCAGGGACAAAAGCATGTTATCCACCACTGACGTACGTGTAACATGCTTGGGGGACAGGGCTAGGTCATGGGTATCATGATCATCATCATCATCATCATCTCCGGAGTCCGGGTGGCCATGGTCATCAACATGGGTGAGATCGTCTAGAAATGTTTCGCGGAGAGGGGGCCGCAGGACCAAATCTCCCTTTCGCACGTTTCTATATTTGTTGCTCTGAGACGGTGGTGTACGCGGAGGTGACTCGCCAGAGTACGTGTTGTACATTTGGGGAGCTCTAGAGGAAGAGGAATATGCAGGCATGGCTCGTTTCGGAGCTCTTGGGTATTCCAAAGTCATATGGTTTGTGTTTCTGGGTGCGGGTCCGGGTTGCGAGAGTTGCAGGCATAAGCATACAGTCAATCCATGCCAGCAAATTTCCAAGTTATGTTACTTGCAGAAAGAAAGAGCCCAAGCCAGCGATTGGAAGCTGTTTGGAGCTATTTTTGGCCCTCTTCTCCAACGCAGGCTTCTTTGTCAAATCCTGGGACCCAGTGCTTTACTCAAAGAAAAAGCGAAGCGTCCTTTACAAAAAGAGAATAAAATCGCCGAGGCAAATTGATGGTAGTCAAGTGAGAGAATGCGGTCGCATTGTTCCGTGTCCAGATGTACGAAAATGGACTGCAAAGATTTCAGGTGTTTGAAGCAATCCCCAGGCAAGGGCGGAGAGGAGAAGCAATGATGCAGGCGTAGCGGAGGCAGAGCGGCTTATAATTCGAAGAGGGATGCTACAACAACGGAGACCTTTGACACAGAGTGGAAACCTGCTAATTATTATTATTAACTAATGTCAGCAAATGCAGAATGGAAGCTTAGTGGACCCAATTGACCTCAAGCAGAGAGTAGAAACAAAAATAGAAATAAAGAGCAGAGGCTAATGGGGTTGGAATGAGGGAAGGGACGGAGGTGAGGCGATTGTTTGAGGGCAAAAGAGAGAAAGGCCTCACTTTTCGCGGGTTGCAGGTATATAATTTGTTGGCGAGAACCCGCAGCTACATGTACGGACTATGTAGGTCTAGGTTGCCGAGCGAGTGAGATGTCTGGTTGCGGCTGGACGAGTGGACGGAGGAAGCGGAGTGAGGAGGCGGTAGAACAAGCAACAAAGGAAGCGCTGGTGGTCCGCGAATGGTCGCTAGATACGTTGGCTGGCAAAAGATATCCCTTGGAGCAACGGGATGGCCCCTCTCCCAAGGGCCCACAGAAAGCGAAGCACGGATAAAAAAAAGGAGTATGGAGCGGGTTGGTTCCTTCAATGCTCTGGAAGCATTGACAGATAAGTCAGGCTGAGGTTAGGTTAATTCAGGTAAGGGAAGGGTGAGGTGGTGGTTCTCTCGAGCAAGAAGAACAAAAAGAGTTGTGGTTGGGTTGGTTGGGAGAAGAAGTCAATCAATAATAATAATAATGGGCTGGGTAAGCCGCAAGACAGACACTCCAACAAACCATTATTAATATTGAAGTGAAGAACCGTTTTAGCAAAGACGATCCGATCATCGATCCACGGCCAAGGGTCAGAGTCAGCCAGGTTCCACGTTGGGGCAGGGGACCGCAAGCGTGTATGAGACTTGAGAGACTCGAGAGTCGAGAGGAGGCTGGAGCCAGATCGTTGTGGAGAGTCGGGTCGTTTGACTCGTTGGAGCAGAAGAACAGCAGCAGAAGTGTGCCAGAACTTCCACGAAGAGGAGAAGAAGCCGGTGTTTCAGCCGCGTTGCGAACTGGCGACGAGACGAAGAAGAGAGACGATTTTTGGACACAAAAACACTACGCCGGACGGGGACTAGCGCGATTCCGACCAGGACGTGGCAGGGCTTGGCCGAGCTTGGCCAGGCTTGGCAGTCAGGTGAATCAGGGGTTGGCCAATCACAGCTCGGAATCAGCAATCCATACGCCTGGGAAACTTATGCGGGAGATGAGAGACTAGGCTGCTTCTAGTTAGTCCCTTTACTAACCCCAAGCTCCACCACGGGTCCCAGACAAAAAGTACTCCGTACTACTACTGTTCATGTACTGCGTATGTACTCCGTACATGTACATGTAAGTACCAGTCTAACCACCAACAGCATCAAGGGCAAGAGGGCAACGACGTTGTTCCACACCAGTCAGTCACCGACCACACCCTACAGTTGACAGTTGTCTGAACTTAACCCAGGCTGCTGTGGACGGAGCTATCACTCACTTACTGACTCCTGCTACAGGTTGTGCTAGCTAGGTAGCGTTGCAGATTCCAGGATATTTAATTATTTAGCTAATTGATTCCACGTCTATAGTTCCCCTCCATAAGCAAGTGTTCGTCCTTGGTGTCCCATATTCTTTTGCCTCTGCAAAAACCTCTCTGCAAAAACATCTCTCCAGAGATACCTTACCTGCCTAAGTACCCAGCCATTCTCTGCGAATATGGTGCGTGCTGCTACTGCACTGCACTGCCAACACCTCTCCTTCTGCCCCTGCTGCTCCTCCTGCTAGAAGTGGAGCACATCCATGGATCTGACAGAGATGATAGAATAATAATCAGCAGCGTTGCAACATCACTACCCTGCCCGGAGTTTACCCTCCATGCATGCCCAGCCGTGTATGCATGGACACGTAGATACGCAGTATGTGTGCCCAGGCCATATCCATACAAGGATTCCACCAGCAGTTGCATGGAGTTATGCAATTCGCCATCAAGAAATACGGAGCATTTATCTCCCTTCCGTCTTCAGCCCCCTTTGCCCAGGACTGGAAATCTCCCGATAAGTCTCCTATCCATGTATGGAGTACGGAGTACATCCATGGTAATATGCTAATTACGCATTTATTCAAGGTAATCTGCACATTTAAGACGTTGGGTAATAATTTCCCCTTAGTTCTCACTTCTTCCTTTTTGAATATTTCTTATCTATTCCCTCCTCTCCCCTTTCCTCCCTTCAAAATAAACCAAATCTTTCGCAATTCACTACTTAAATGAATTTGTTTAACCAGCAACCGTATAGATGGCAATCTGCCCTCCCGCTTGATTGAGCTGAGAAATCCCGCTGCATCTTGAGAAATTCTCCGTCCAGGGACTACGTATGTAGCCTTTTTTTAAGAAGAAAAAGGAAGACAAAGGAAAGGCCCAGGGAAAAAAAACAACCCACCGAGTAGAATACGTGGATAGATGATGGATCCTTCTCGACTTTTACATAAATTTAATTAAGTACGGTAGTGCGCTGCTGCTAACTCTTACATGATGTAGCCTCTTTCCCACCATGGCGGCTGGTGCTGGTATGGTATCTAGATGGATTCATATCTAAGGATAACGTTATGCATTTCGTTTACATATAAATGTGTGTATCAACAGGGTTATATAGCCCAGTTTATTCTCCCGTTCTCGAGGGAAATAGAGTGGAATGGAAGCATGACACCTTTTTTCCTTCCGGGTCTACATCTAACATTCTACATTCAACATATTCTTTACAAGCGTGCCATTTCATGACATCATTGAAAGAGTACATAACATATTGGCCAGGGAAAGAAGAAGACTAAGGAAAAAAAGAAGAGTCGATGAACAAGACGCGAGAAACGCTGGAGGTTCAACTATCTGCTGACTAGTTGTGATTGATGCGATTGGGCTTCGAAAGACTTTGCAGCCGGGCTGGAATGAGATAAATGAGAAATGGCAATATGAATGACGCTCCAAATTATTCCGTTCTCTCCTTCTATCTCTTTTACTGAGACAAAAATTAGTAGATATATCAAAGCCTGTCAATGCCATGACGGGGAAAGGTTTTTTTCTCTCAAGTAGCCCCGTATACTAACCACAAGAGATCAATCAGCATGAACACGATAGAGCGCCAAATTCGTTGTTATATCTTCTTTCTCAAACTGCAAATTACTCCGTTCAGCTGAAGCTGGTTAAATATTTTTATACGATAAAACATAACATGTTTACTCCATCGCGGCTAATAGGCGACCTTCCCAACCCCCGCATCAAGCCTCCAGTCAATGACAAACTCCATCGCGCTAAGCAGCGCCACAGGCGCGAGTTAACCAAAACTCCATCGTGGCCCAATTCAATCAGCAAAACAACAATCAAACAACAATCAATCCCCCGACGCTACCCTAAACGAGGGCTGCTGTTATATCAACCTCCTTCCTTCTCTTCCATCCGAATCTCTACCTAACCAGCCCTCCTATACACCCCCCGCCACTGTCAGAACCTCCATCACGAGGGGCCATGAACCCTCATATCTCAGTACCCCGGCAGCATGCCGGCCCAGCCAACTTCGGCAGCACAGCTCCGCGGCGGGAATCGTCGATACGCATGCCCAGATTTTTCCGGAGGTGAGAAATTCTTTCTCTTCTTCGTTTATCTATCCGTCGTGCTATAAATTGGTGGTTTTATGATCCCTAGCAGGGGATTGTCTCAATTCAAGGATGGAAACCGGAAAAAACGAAATGAAAAACAGAGCTATTCAACGGCAAACAACATGTCACCGGATGCGGGGAACTATACCTACCTAACGCTAACGGCATCTATATATTCTATAAACAGGCTATTTAAATTCCCGCAGATGGATTTTGAAATGGCGATTTGGGAAATGACGTCGCTGCTTATTGCGCCTAAAAAGGTGTTCAAGTCTATGTATTATCATGTCAGTATTTTTATACGTTTCTTTTTCTTTATACGCCCTCGCTGCTGCTGGGGGTCTATCTCCTTCCTCTTCCGATTCATAATATACAAAACATAATACAGCTAACAGGAGACCTCACTGGCACAGAAACGTAAATATACCTATCTATATCCTAACATATTACCTTCGAACAAACTAACCTAGGCAAAACCGCATCCAGAAACGAAAAACACTTGGCACCGCCCCGATCCCTCCTTTACATACCTACTTTCCTTCTTCCTCCTCCTCACAGCCCTTGCCTGGGGTCTAGCATACACCCCATCATTCGGCGCCATAGTCCGATTATCCTTCCTCTTCATATTCGTCCACTTCATCGGCTCCTCGCTCCTCGTCTCGACACTAACATATTTCTTCATTGGCCGGCTGTTTGGACCAGGTGGGCCGGCCGCGAGAATCGGCGAGTGGAGGGGTGGCAGGACTATACTGGGGAGGACGAGACGGCGCGGCGCGGCGGGCGGGTTATTTGCGCAACCTGGTGAGAAGGAGCAGGTTGAGTTTGGATATTGTTTTGATGTGCGTGCCTGCATTCCATTGCGTTCCATCCTCATCTTCCCCACGCATTTCTTTTTGTTTTGTTGGTTGGTTGGCTCCTTCGGGACGTTAATTTTGGTTTAACACAACTGTCGGAGTTTTAGGTATCGAACCGCGCCTTCTTCCCACTCTACCTCCATCTATACGTTCTGCAGTTCCTCCTGCTTCCAATCCTCACACGGAAAAACTCCTCCGCCTCAGAATCATCACCCAGTACACTTGCCACGGTCCTCGGAAACACACTGTACCTCTCCGCGCTGACATATTACACCTACATCACTTTCCTGGGTTATAACGCCCTGCCATTTCTCCACCATACGGAACTATTACTTGCTCCCATTCTTATTCTTGCAGCACTGTGGCTGGTTAGTCTGATAGTGGGCTGGGGGATAGTGGGGCAGGGGATGGCTGTGGAAGGGTTGTTTTGGGGGGTATGAAAGCGTTTTAATGAACCATTCTTGACAAACGATGTGCCATGAAAATGGGGCCGGTCTGTGATGGGCTTTTTTTGGTGGGATTGAACAAGAAGAAGAAAAAGAAGAAGGAGAAGGAGAAGAAGAGAACATGAAGAATGCGTACCTCGAAAGAAAAGAAGGGATGGGTGCAAGAGAGGCAAATCATTGAACTATGAAAGTATGAATATCTGCCGCTGGTGCGTGCCCAAACTAACGGATACTAGTGTTTCCATATCTCCCTGGGTGTGCGATAGATGCATGTACCCTATGCTATGTATTCCCATTTATTCCTAATAGGGGATCAAGTACTTACTACTTGCTTTTGTGCGTTTTAAATTTTCTATTATTTAGCTGGGTTGGCGGCGTATCTTTCTTGGTTTTTGATTTTGAAATTCTATTATTACATTACAAACCCAACTAGCCCGGCGGCTATGGTCATATATTCTTGTCTTATTGTTTTGTCGAATAGATCAAGTCGGAACTACAGTGTAGCAACTGACCTCAATTGACTTTCTTATGGTCAACTAATACACACCTGTGCATCGCCACTAGATGATGGCTACTTCGTTGCACAGGAGGCTACCACGGAGCTTGGAAAACTTCGTTAACCAAACCCCAAGGGGCTCTTGGGAAGCGTCAAGTTAGGCGCAGTGGGTATGTAGCTGAGTCCCTAACGACTCCACGTCACCATAATTCGTCGTTGGGGCGAAAAAACCACAACGGAAAATTAAGTGAGGGCTTCGAAGAAGATATTGCAGACAGGAAGAGAGAGGAGAGGAAAAGTCTAATAATGACGACGTAGGGTTCGCAATGATCCCTCCTGACCAAAAAATATATATATTCAATTTGGCTACATTTGTCCCCTCTCGCCCTTCCCGGCCCTTCCCCCTATTCTCCTTTTTCATATATCCCAGTATAAAAGGGTGGCTGCTATGGGGGCGGAAGTTTTTCGTATGAATGAAAGCTCGCATTTCTCCCATCCATAGTTAACTATATCACCAAAAACCAATAACGGAAAAATGCTAGCCAAGAAAAATAGTGGAACCGCGCCTCGAACGGAGTGAGATGAGTGATAAACCAACCTCCAGGAAAACGATGGAAAATCTTTCATTTGTGATGTGTATTTAAATTTAGAATAATTGGAGGAAAAGAAGCCGGAAGGAGAATAAAAATGTAAACCGGAACGGGGATAGAAGATTTAACACAGCACAACCAAAGGATGCAAGATAACGTCATAAAAGCACTCTGACGCAGCAAAGCGTGCAGGGAAGCATGAGATGTATGAAAGATTCCAAAAGCAAAAAAAAAAAAAAAAAAAAAAAAAAAAAAAAAAGAGGGGAGTTGGGGTGGGAAACTAGAGAACGCGGCGTATAATCATTTCTTCTTCGGTGCTCCCTTCTTCGCCGCAGGACCCAGCGCAGCAGCCCGCAACTTCGCTTCCCTCTCCTTCGCCTCGGTCCTCTCGCGCTCCCGCTCCTCCCGCTCCTCCCTTTCAGCCTCCTTGCGTGCCCTCTCCGCTTCACGACGCTCTTTGACAAGAGCCAGGCGGGCGAGATCAGCACGGGCCTCCTCAGTCTTGCCCTCCGCGTGCAGCTTCATATACCGCTCGCGCGCCTGCTGGGCCTGGATAGCTTCCCTCTCCCTACGGGAGAGTTGTGACATATCGCCCGATCTAGCCGCGGTGGATGTAGCTTCCCCGTTGGCCACGGGTCCCTTTGCGGCTTGCGAGCGCGATTTGGCGGTATGGTTGGGATTAGCGGGCATGTCGTCGTCGTCGTCGTCGCCGTCGTCGTCGTCTTCATCCTCGTCATCGGATGGGGGCAGGTCGCCCGGGGTGACTTTGTTCTTTTTGGCAATGGCGGCCTCCTTTCGAGCTCTGGCGGCTGCTTTGCGTTCTTCGCGGGTCATCTCTTGTGCAGTGGTAGAGTGGCTAGGGCCTGATTCCCCTCCGGATTCTTCCTCAGATTCCTCTTCGGAACCCTCTTCTGAATCTTCTGATGACTCATCTACGATATCGTTTGGGTCCTAGAAAGATGATGCCACCTTAGCTAGGACTCTCATGGAAACTTTGAGCGGGGTTGGGTGTAAATGACTCAAAAAGGTTGAATTTCGCAAGGGAAGGAAAGAGAATATGTGTACCCGCCACATGCCCATAGGGTTTCCATCTTTATCTAAAGGTTGGAGATTACGGCTGAAGTGTTTACCTCCTAAATAAGCAGTGAAAATAGAGTCAATGTCATGTCCAACAAGTTATGTATGGGCAGGTAGTTTGGAGAGCAAAATATATATACCTCCGCGAGTTGGTTTACTAAATTTTCCTCCACGTCCACGGGGAGCCATATTGACAATTTATGATAGATTGCACGGAAGGAGTACGATAGAGATAGTAGAGTAAATGGAGGGGGGTGGGTGCCCGTGAAGAATGTTGGTGGACAACTAAGAGCGAGCGAGCGAGCGAGGGGTAGAAAATGAGGCGCTTGGATTGAATGCGGGGCGTTTTGGGAGCAATTTGAGGGGGGGAATTTGGCTGGGTGAAAAGCTGGAATACAGGTTTTGAGTATAGTTAACTATAGGAGTTGGATCGGCAATATCCTCTCACGAGTATTCTCAGCTTCGAATAGCAAAGCAAGAGGATATGTCTATAGCTATAGAGAGTAGAAGAAAAATGGAGACAGTTTTGTCGTTTGTCAACGGAACTTTTGAGCTTCATAAAATAATATTAATAAGTCTTCACAAGTTTGAACATGAGCTTTGGGTTCAATTTAGGCTCAACCATACTCTCAACTTATTCGCACCCCATTTAAAATACCCCCATACTCTAACTAATCCACCCTCACTCCTGGATGAAGTTGTACACAAGAGACTTGCTTGTAGCGTAGCGATATGTAGGTTTTTAATGGGGGCTACCATGTCTCTAATTACTTAAGGAAATATTAATTGATTTCAAAGTATTTAAAACGATGGGCATATCTTGTAATGGGGCTGCTTGTTCAACGATTCCAGCATCAGAGCCACGCCAGAAAGTTTTTCCCGCCCAAAATTGGGACCACGTTCAACTGTATTTTAAGCCCCAGGTAACCTGGGCGGGACAAACATCAGCGCCGTTCTGACTCAGCAAGACGCGCGCGCATGTGACCTCCTACCTCGTTCGTCTTATTCCCATAAGTTACTTTTACTCTGTACTCTGTACTCTGTAGATCTTTTCACGACTTCACCACAAAGTGTCAAGAAGAACGAACGTGTCTGAGCGTGAAATGGAGGACGGAGATTTGCAGCTTTCTATGAGCTTGCTCTGTTGTCACCTTCCTCTGAACACCATGTTTCAATTCATTTTTCTATTTTACTTCACGAACGCCGTATCTATCTAGTCCCTCGCTCAATGCTCATATCAAACATATAAACATCTCGCGTTTTATTATAAACAAAGATTTGAGCCACGAAACAGCAAAAGGGCATAGGGAAATGGAAACAATTTACACCGCCGTCGTACTTGAAAAAGTGAACTGCAAACATGGTTTTGTGTGTGCGGATGAAACAATAAAAGAGAACTCTTCTAATCCTATACGTGAAACACATTATTTCTCACAATGAAAGAATCGACTAATATACCTCAGACCTTTGCCAGCAATACTGGTCCCGTAACTGAAAGCCTTGCACAAATCAATACCGTGGCCCCTACAAGCATCGAAGCGCCGCCAAAAATTTGTGCATACAAATAGTCGCCATTATTCATTTGAATTAAAGCCCCTGCAATTGGCGATCCCGTTAATGAAGCGAAGCTCACAACACTTAGAATCATACCGAATCGGATACCGGTCTTTTTCAGATCAGGGGACAAAGATGACAAGCTTGCAGGAAACAATGACTGGATTCCTGCTGCGAAGAATCCATATAAAACGGAGAATGCATCCACCCCGTTGATGTCTTTAATCCCTGTCCAGCCGAATATCAAGATACTTGAGATAAGGCTAAACGGGATTAGAGCATTGAATGGCCCTGTATAGTAGTCTGATACGAAATTCGGTATAAGTCGGCCAATAAATCCGACGCCGTTCAGCATTAACAAAAGATCTATCGACTTCTCTCGTGAAAGGCCGATGACATTGCGGCCAAAGCTACTGAGGTAGAAAAATGCAACGTATAGTCCCCAGAAATTGAGGAACATAGCAATTGCAAACAAAGAGTACTTCGTCTCCTTAAAGGCAGACCAGTCGAAAAATGGCCCGCTCTTTCGAGGTGGGATTCGTGGTCGCAGCCATATGAAGCAGGGAGTCAACGTGGCGAGAGTGAAGAAGCCCAAAACTCGGATCGTCCAGGCATATCCGATGCGAGGGAGCAATGACAATACGATTGCGGGGAAAATGAGGCCTCCAGTCGCAGAGCCGGTGGCACCGATTGCCAGAGCAATTGCTCGCTTGGAAGTGAAATATGTTGGCATTAATGCTATTGTAGGGCAGAAAAGCAGCCCGCACCCGAGACCCATGCACAGCCCTTGGGAAAGGAAAAGTTGCCAATATGTCGTGGTTAGTGAAGTCATGAAGATTCCAATAATTAGAATTGTCGCGCCTGCCGTCCACACAACCTTGAAATATCCAGCGTCGGTTGCACGGCCTGAGAAGGTTCCGATGAAGAAGAGAAGGAATATCTGAATGCTTCCCACCCAAGATATATCTGATGGCACCCGCTGCAGGGATGTCGTGTAGTGTTGTTGGAACACACCGAAGCTATTGATATACCCCCAGGTATTGCAAATGACCAGATGGCTCAAACCCGCTTGGAGCCAGGCATTGAAGCCTCCGTCAGGTGGGGGGCCAGGATCCATTCCGGAGTCTTTTGTCCGAACGAGCGAAAGTGTCTTCTCTAACACACCCTCTTGATAGATCGGACCTGCGACAGTCTGCGTGGGGGATAGCCTGGGCGAGACGCACGTAATTGGAAGGTCGTCATCGTACTCGGGACTAGAGAAGGCCTGTGACGCAATATTGGGGCCGGGCGCTTTTTCGAGGTCCGTTGGGGGACTAATGTCTGGGTGGGATTTCTCCATCCTCTCGAGACTCCTGAGGGTTTGAATGACTGGTCTGTTACCGCTTTATATTCATCAATATCGGTCTGCGTGGAAAGAATCGTCAAGGACTTGGACTATTTCGGACAAGACTCTTTGTCCCTGGACGAAAAGTCTGTATGCTTTTTCAAGGCCAAACAAGGCGACTCAGGTGCAAATTAATAAATGATCGCGTCCCGGTACATGAGCTTAGGAACTCGACTTTTCTTCTTGAGGATAACGATATCGATTCAGGATTACTCCTCCTCTGAGGTGTTAGACTAATGCTTATATTAATTATGCTTGTGGGGGAATCTATGACTCAATTATTAACTGTTAGGGGATTCCAAGCAGATATAGCCCATAGGCAAAGCTTCTGTGGAAATGGGACCTGAGGACGGAACACACCTTAAAAGGAATGTCTATTGAAAGAGAGAACCAAAGGGCGCACACGAAAATGGTCAATCGAACGCGCAACGTAGGGGAGCGGCTCCCTGGGCTGTTGATATGAATTTTCTATCCAAAAGGGCCCGAGGCTGGTGGAATTGTATTGTCTGTCTGACCGCTGCAGCAAAACGGGGCGATGATAAAAGAAGAGAAAAAGAAAGAAAGAAAGAAAACAGAGGTAAAGAGTGCGGATTTTGTCTATGTCTATATGTCCCTACAACACTATTGCATATGCGAAGGTTTCGATATTCAACAATGGAAGATATCTAATATTAAGAGCAGGACGGAAGGGAGGAATATATTAATAGTAACGGCTTCCTAATCAGCTCCAGCAAGGGGGGAAATATCCTCGCTTCTGAGATACTAGGAGAGAAGGAGCGAGCAAGAACGAGCCCTTCGACAACAGTCATAAAAACCAGAAGCCGAAAATTGGAATCTTTATCTTTATTTTTTATTTTACCTTTAAAGACAGACACTAAAAAACGGGAAAAAGTCTTCTTCGTAGGTTAACGGTTCTTCTCCTCACGACTTTGTCCACTCTCTACGTAGTGTAGTAGTTCGCCGCCGCCGCCCTCGGTGGCAACAGTGGGGGGGGTTTTTGGGTTTTCCATGAGAAAATGAGTAATTACCCCGCGGTAACAATTTGAGAGCAGATTGATAAATCAATCTCATCTTCGCAGTTTGGAAAATCCAATTTCTTCGCGAACATTTCTGCCTCATTATTATTATTATTATTATTATTATTATTGCATATCTATACTTCTGCACTCTACGGGGGGAGGGGAGGAGGGGGGGGGTTTGGCTTGCTGTGAATGCGGCTAAAACGTGGAGATATGTCGGCTGTAGGGCGCAAACCAGCCACCACCCAATCCAATCCCATTCCATGCAGGCGGCTGCAGGCTCGCTTAGCGTTTCCATCAGGCCGGCCGAGGAGCAAGCATCGGCAATCCCAACAACGAAACCCCCACTCGGCTCAAGCGGCAAATCAATAATCATGAGACATCGCACATATTTTGAACCGCATATTATTAGGAATTCTCCGATGTGAGGGAACCGAGCACGCCTCGTGGGCCAGGTAGCAGCAAGCAATAGCTAATCTGTTCCAGACTCCGTACAATGAGCGACTATCAGATTTGAACAAAGGAGGAATCGATGGACCTTTTTAATAGGTTAATTCAACATAAAAAAGGAAATGGGGTTGCCTTCGTCGTATATTCCCTGTTTCTCAAATTGTTGATATGAAATATGATGAGCAACGCTATGTATATTATATCACGGCAGAAATTACGCGAAGATTCATTCCGATGCCTCCAGCAAAAACCGTCAAGGCAATAAAATGCATTGAACGTCAGCGAAAATAAAGAGAAGAAGTGAAGAAAAAAAGAAGCAGCAGCAGCAGCAAAGTGTCAAACCTTCATCCCATCACACGCTCCCAAACCGTCCTAAGAGACCCTGTCGATATTCCCAACCGAGCCGGCAACTGGGGGTATAAATTCCATACCACGAAACCATTAACAATCATAGCAATCAACGCGAGCGAAGATTTTGTTGTCTTGCTTTTTCTCTGGGAATCTTTCCACTGCAGACACCAACGGGAGTTAGCTGTTAGCTATATTATTTGGGACTGGCTTCGCGGGTTAGACGTACCTGTATGTTCCAATCTGACCAGGTAGGGAAGAGGCTCCTGTACCACATATACGCCTGGGACCATGGATACGTGGTTGGATTCCACTTGTTGCCTTGGACATACCACTAGTTGGGGGAGAGGGAGGGGGGGGGGGGGTTTGTTAGCTACTGTGCCTGCCAGGGATAGGGGATCAAGCAAAGAAAGTGGAACAAGACCTAGATATGGGCCGGAGAGAGAGAGAACGTGATAGCGGAAGACAAGCGAGTGCAACTTACTGACTGACAACCCCCAGAATTGAAAACAGTCTTGTCTAAATCATCCTGAACCTTATAAGCGTACAATTCTTCTGCCTCCCGCTTGAGCTCGACAATCGCTGCTTTTCCCTCGAATACCGGCTTCAGAATGCGCAGTGCATAATTTACGGTGCTGTGGACATTTTTTAATAGTTAGTCGTTAGCGAAAGATTCCCTTGGCCATCCCCTTTTCTCCCATAGGTTGTATTTAACTAATGAAATAGAACGAGGATGGGAGTACTCACTTCTCCGATGCCATGATCGCAGACGAGTGTCCCGTCGCCGAATTGGGACCCAACAACATGAAAAAGTTGGGAAACCCGCTGAGAGCACAACTGTTGTAAGCTGTCGGTCCTGGATATTTAGACCAGTGCTCCTTGACACTCAATCCATCTCGCCCGACAATATCCAATCCGTGCATGTAGTTGGTGGCCTCAAAACCGGTGGCCAACACGATAACGTCGGCTGCAACAAGGCCCTTATCAGTCAATATGCCTTCGGGGAGAATTTCCAATGGTTTCTCATTGGTTAATGTAATATTTCCTGCGTT